TCAAATATGGACTGAAGGTGCACTGTCACTTTATCTACTGTCATTAGTATGGCATGAGAAAAATGATATGCATACATTTTAAAATAATGTACATGTACATGTATGTGAGAGCTATTAGAGAATATTGTACTTTCCCTCATCACTGCAATCATTGTCAGCAATGTTAGGCACACAAAACACATTGTTCAGAAACTAGATACTCCCTATTTCATACAACTCTCTGTGTGTTTCTATTTTACTAAAATATACATGTACATGTAGTGCTAGAAAACTTTATTTTAATTACATGTACACTGTACATGTACAATAGTTAATGAAAATTTATGACACAACATACTGTATACACAATATATTTCATGGGTATAAAATTTCGTGATTTGGCTGCATTTTTGTATTTGTGAATAAAAACTTTCCGATTTTAATGTAATTACCACACCTAGTATACAATCAGCACCCTATTTTGTGGATTTTAATTTCGCAAAATTTTCCAAACGCAAAAATTGCAAAATTTAATCCTCGTAAAATATATGGCGTATACGGTACAATATATACACTATGCTATATTTCTGACAACAGACAAAGCAATGAAATACTATACAACACAGTATACAGTATAGGTGTAAGGATCAGTCAAAGGATCATTCAAAGGATTATTTTAAGGTTGTTGAAGTTTACATTATGTAATGTACAACAGACAGACAACAGCTATACAACAATGGGATACAATATACACATGTATCACAGGGATGGAAAATTAGGTGATTAGTGTCAGGGTTCTCCCATAAAGCATATGCTAAGTGATATGCTAATTTTTGCTGATGTTTGTGCTGACTTGAGTTACATAATGACTCAGCAGAGAGAGACGGCTAATACTAAGTATATATACATGTACATGTACGGTGTAGCAGCCGTCAGACTACGTGAGCGTTCATATACTCACTTACTCAATAACCCAAGTACAGAAGTCTTTCTGGTGTTTCTCCTTTTCCTGCCATTGTTGGTAAGCAATTTTGTAATAATTTTCCCAAAATCATTCTTTTCCATAGAAAACATGATAGCTTCAGTTATCTTGACAGCAATATTAACAGCAGTAGTCAGTGGTGCTGCTTTTTATGTCGTTGCTTACCTCAAGCCATTGGCTGGCAACAAGTCCAAGAACATCTCCTGCCAGCCTATTCAGGAGGAAGGTGGTGACCCTTTTGGCTATCCCATAAACACATCTATCGAATGCTCTGACAAAACTGGGACACCTAAACTCAGCGACAGCGAGTTTAAACTCAGTTACAGCGACACCTAAACTCTTAGACAGAGGCAACTGTATCGTGTACTTGGCTAGACCTGGTAAACAGAAGCTAGTGGACTAAAGCCGAGATACCATAAAAGCTGGAGTAGTAAACAGAAAAACAACAGAGCCTAGAAAACCATCTCCGAGTCATTGGAATTTGATTCCAGTTGGGAATC